CAAGTTCTTACTGACAGGTCCCCTGCATATTAGCACTACCCATCTTCCCTTGAATCTAACACGTATGCATTGCATAACTTGTATTTGAGTTAAAAAAAAAGATAAATTCAAAAAGTTCGAATATAACACATGCATTGTATTCGGAAATTAGAACTATTTGAATATAACACATATGCGTTGTATTCGAATAGAAAGCAACCTATGCTTTGTAGATATCTGTTTACAATGCATATGTGCTATGTTGGGGGGGGAGGGGGGGAAGACGGTAGCATGCTGTTTGGACCGTTTCTCGATTTATGCCTGTCATCCTTGCTCCTCTGTGTACTGTTCCGATTGGCATATAGTGTTGGAGAACTGATGGGTTGCTTCTTTTTTTCCTCTCTTTTTCGCTCACTGATAGGTCATGGTTTGTGAAGGCTGCGATGGCCTGTGGCATTGATATAAGCATTACTGGTGCGTTGGGGTTCCGCACTCGTCATCAGGTATGCTCCATGCTAGAAAATTATAACTATCTCAATTAAAGTCAATTTTTAAAATCAAATTGAATCAATCTATTTGGCAACTTTGCTTGCTTTGCTTTTTTTTTTTTTTAGAAGGCTAATTCTTTAAGCCCAACCAATTCAATCACCTGTCAAATCTGGAAAGGACTGCCTTTTTCAGGCCTTTTTTATTGTCATTATAGTATTACGGGGAACCCTGTAGCAGGCACATCCGTGCTCAAGCCTCCAACGAGGGAACATGCGGGAGCTGCACCCACCAGCAGGTGCGATACCTGCTACAGCAGGTGGGTGATACCGGCCAGCGGTCAGCCGGTAGCATCAGGACCAAGCTTCTTTGATGGGCCAGTCACTGTGCCTCCCCTATGGTCACTTCCCCTATGAACATCAGCAGTCTCTGCTCAATGCCACTCGGGGGGACGAACGACATATCTCTAGGTGGCGGGCGCCAAGCTTACCCAGGAAGGAGCGAGCAGGAAGCTTATAAAAAAAGGAGAGAGAGAAAAGGGGGGAAAAAAAACCAGAAAAAAGAGCAAGCAGCAAGCTGATTCTTTTTCTCAAGAATCTTTAACCCCCAACCCAATGAACGGCCCAGCTATTTTGTTCGGACGCAGCTGTGTGCGTGCAACAACTTTCCCGACGCAGCTGTGTGCGTGCAACAGCTTTTGGTCCTCAGCCTACTGGATCTGTGTGGCTGGCGGCACCTCAGAATCGGAATCTTGAGCAAACAGGTTGACGGGACAGCATTTTTTCTGAAAAGTTATCGATTCTGCATTCTCAAATGGAACGCGCGTGGTAAAACAAGGTTCGGTTGTATGCCCTCCTGTTTCCTTGCAAGTGAGGCTGCAACAGGTCATCTTGCAATCAGATGCCCAGGATAAAATCCCTCTGTAATTCAGGCCCTGAATTACAGGTTATCTTGCAATCTGATCAGTGTGGAAAAGAAGTTGCCCATCTGCCTTCTGTTCTGTATCTCAGAATAAAGCGTCGGACATTCACGCTTGTTTGTAAACGCCATAAATAGTAAACATAGTACTCGGAGACGCAGCCGGAGATCTTCCAAGGATTGGCTAAATCCAGTGATCTCCTTTCACGACAGGCTATGGTACCCGGAATGAGTTCAATACGAAATAAAAAATAGTCATTGCATTTGTGTAATTTCCCCCCCTGACCCCCTTGGTATGGTAGTCTAGCCAATTGCAGTAAGATACTGTGTTTTCAGATTTTTATCATTTTAATAATGATTTATCGGTTTTTTAAAATTTTAATAGTTTTTTTTAATGTCTTTTATCATTTATCAGGAGGTCTTTGAGCATTGGAACTGCCTGACCAGTGCCAGTAATTTTTATTTATTTATTTTTTAATAACAATTCAATTATAAGCTGGGAATTAGGCCCGATGTCCCTTACATAAATGGCAGTACCTTTTTCACCATCAATGTTTTTGATAGTCTTATCTGATCTCTGGTTTTGCTCAGAAGGTTTATTTAAATTGTTTTTTTTTTTTGAAATATTTAAAAATTTAAATGCATATTATAATTTGGATATAGGTAAATAGAGCTGTTAGCAGGTGGAGGGGATGTCTCAGCGCTGACTAAGGAACTTGGCACTTGATCGCCCTATCGGTTTTTGCTTTGTGCCTCAGGTTGATCCAAAGGCCCAGATGGTTTTGAAAACCCGTTCATTGGCAATCAACAGTGGGGGTGAATGTAGAAATTCCGCCCCTATCTCGGATGACGATGAGGACAGTGAGATCGAGACTGACCACGGACAAGGAATTCCAGAGGAAGAAAGTAAAAATGGAAGAGAAATGGGTGGGGGGGAAACGTCAACAAAGGTTCAAGGGCATGATAAAGAAGGGTATGGAGAGGGGATGTATGCTGAATATGGGAGCAGTGATGTCCTCAAGGCACCAGTCCTGGTGGAGCAGGGAGAAAATGGAAATCGACCAGCCGAAGTTCTCAGCGAGAAGAAAGGCCGAGAGCTGACTCAACTTAGGTCTATAGAACAAGTGGTGGTGCTCGCAAAATGTGTTGAAGTGCGCAAGAATAGTCCGTCAGATGAGCTCAGAAGTAAGTCTTCTTTCCCCTTACCCTGAAAAAGATAAAGCATCTGAGTAAATATGTTATAGAGTAATAATACTGACATTTCTTTCAGTTCTGTTTGAGGTGATGGATTGTATGGGAGGGGATGCTGCAGAGTGCTGGATCCTATGGGAGCGGGGAGGTAGGGGATTCTGCACGAATCTGCAGTCCTGTGCGTTCCAGTTAGGATAAGGTGTGGGGGATGGATGTTCTCTGTGTGCGTGTGTGTGTGTGTGTGTGTGTGTGTGTGTGTGTGTGTGTGTG